GCCTTTATCCGAAATTGAGGCATGGTTATTTTGCTTAATTACAATAAATAAAGGTGTGTTATTTACATTTCTGTCATAATGATATTATATGATATGCTGCCATAGCTCAAAGAAATTTTAACAAATATTCAAGAATTATTTATGTTACGATTTGAAAGTCGTGTTAAAAACGAAGGTCTTGAATCTTTTGAGAAGATTATTCCCCGTAATGCTAATACTGAAATAGTATGTTAAATGTTAATTTTCTTTTCATATTGACAGTCAAATCACTAATAAATTATTTAGGCGCCAAAGGCCTACATTGATGCGTTGCTTAAAATATTGCTTGAAGTACGCAATATGTATAAAGATATGATTGTTTCTTTCCAAAGTGAAGCTAAATTTAATGAATCAATAAATAAAGTAAGTAGTAATTATTAATAATTATTCTCATTGCTGATACTGAAATTTGTGGATCTTTGGTTTTAAATTGTAAAAAAACAAATTTAAAAAGTTTTTTATTCATACAAACTTAATAAATCGGTTCTTATAACATAAATTTTTAAAGGTAACCCGTAAACCTGGCTTTTAATTTTATTTTCAAAAATTTTTATATTTTAAAAAACAAAATATTTTTATTGATAGTAAATGGTTTTAAAGTTTTGTAAAATTTGGCACGGCTAGGTTATGAGAACCGATTTATTAAGTTTGTATGGCCTAAAATAGATCAAATTTAGCATGAATCGATTTAGCATTAACCATATTAATTCATTGATAATAATTATTTTATCATCAGGCGTTCGTAGAAATTGTAAATCGCAACCACGTTTGCAAGCCCTCGACGAGTAAATCTCCAGAATTATTAGCTCGGTTTTGTGATTCTTTACTTAGAAAGAAATATGATGAAAATGACTTTGAAAATGATCTTGAAAACATCGTATGTGATATTCAAATACATATTATAGTTTAAATTTCTATATTTTATTAAATTTAATTCTTCATTTAGATGACTATATTTCACTTTGTGGAAGATAAAGATGTTTTCAACAAATACTATTCAAAAATGTTGGCAAAACGTTTAATAAATAGGACATTAAAATCAGATGATGCAGAACAAAGCATGATCAATAAGTTAAAAGTTGGTTACAATATAATATATATATGAATTTTAAATTTAATTATTGTTAATTATTATTTTAATTTATTATAGGAAAAATGTGGCTTCGAATATACAAGAAAATTTGGTCAAATGCTTGCTGACATAAGTAAAAGTAAAGATCTCAATAATAAATTTAAAGAATACTATTTTGCAAGAGCTGATTATCAAGGTAATTAAATTATTTAGAAATATATTTTAAAGTTGTTTACTTTTAACTTTTAAATAGATTTATTTGATATTTTTATACCTTTAGATAATGTTTCTTTTCTTATTTTGAGCACTATGAATTGGCCTCTTCAACCATCACTAACAAATATCACTATACCAGAAGAAGTAAAAAATAATATAAATCATTGCTTTATTTTGATATATATATTATGTATTAACATTCTTTTCCAATACTAGCTTGAAAAAGTTTATGAAAATTTCAAAAAATTTTATAGAATTAGTCACTCCAAACATAAACTTAATTGGTTATTCCATCTTACAAATGGTGAATTAAAGGCTAATTATTGTAATTCAACAAAGACAGGCTATATATTCATGGTTGGTAAATGACAAACTCTCAATTTGTTGATTAATTTATTGCTACCTTTAAATTATGTTTTCTACTCAATTATTGCATTATACTTTTAGGTATCCACATATCAAATGGGCATTCTCTTGCAATACAATAAAGATATTTCATATACATTTGAAGAATTAATGCAAAAAACAGATTTAGATTATGATTTTTTAACTGCTATCTTAAAAACTCTAGTTCAACAAAAAATTCTCAAATTAATTATTGGTACTGAAGTTGGTGATCCTTTATCTCATTATGAATTGGATATGGACTTTAAAAGGTTTATCAATATTTAAACATTTAACCTTACTTTCTACTTAAAATTTTTAAATAATTAAAACTTTATATAATATACTAGCAATAAATATCGTGTTAATTTAAATATTCCGATTAAAACTTTATCTGAAGAAGAGGAGAAAAAAGAAGAAGATCATAAAGTTAAAGAAAGAATGCTTTTGATACAGGTTTGTAAATTTAAATTAATTACAATTATACATCTTTTATACTAGCAAAGAATTATAAACATAGTTATATATATATATAGAGGACTATTCTTAACACTATGAAAATCAGAAAAACTTTAAATCATATTGGTTTGGTTAACGAAGTAATTGCAAAAGTTGTTGATCGCTATAATTTCAGACCTACAATAATTAATATTAAAAAATGTATTGATATTTTGTTAGAAAAGGAATATATTGAACGTGTAGAAGGAACTAAAGATATGTTTCGTTATGTATATTAATGATAGTCATATGTTGTATATAAATTTTTTTCCTATTGATTAAGAATCATTTGAGTAAATTCAGATTTTTAACTTTTGTGGTAATGGAATTTTATAAAATAAAAGAATTTGATGACAAAGCTTATAACTTTAATTATACAACTTATAATTATTGTATCCTCTTATTGTACTAATGATATCTGATGAATAATGAAACTTTTATCATTGATGAATGACAAAACCTTACGTCAAAATGATTTTTAAATGACAAGTTGATGAATAATGTATACATAGAAACTATTTCGGCATTGCCAAAAGTATTTCGGCACAGAATTGATGCCGAAATAGTTTTTATGACATGTATAGATTAATGAAATCTATGATGATTGATAAAACTTGAAACCTGTGCAGGTACCCTTATGATAAGTATGATATTGTGTAACAAAACAAGCGTAACAATTCGAAATTTCGCTGACATTTTAAGTAAAAGTTTTTAGCAAGAAATTTTAAATCCTAATATTCTATTCATAATTACAAAATAGTCTACGAAGCCACCCATGGATTAGCGAAAAAATTTTCTTGCAAAATTTTGGTACAGATCTGATCGGTCAATATGTCGATCAATGAAATCTGTCGATGCTACTGAATATATGATTCTAACAATATATATAGTTAATTACTGTATTGAAAGCACCATGCATTATATTTTAAAACTTAATTGAAATAAAGTACATAAATTTGTATAAGAATAATGATGGGTTAATAATAATAATAGGAAATAAAAAATATTTTAACAAAATTATACTCAACAATTGCATAATGAGCAAGAATAATAATAGGATGTATGAAAATATTTCTATTGTTAACTAGCAATGTTATCCAAACTTACATCAAATTTTTAAATTGTAATAATTTCAAAAAATTATGTTTGATGTGAAATATTGGGAAAGAATTTAAAAAATTATGTTAAAATCAAATTTCATTTAAATACTTTGCAATATTGTAATAATAATAAAATTCAGCAAGTTATTCTGGTCGTGATGGTATTTAAATTATTAAATTTAAATTATTAAATTCGAATAAGTATTTACTAAGATAGCTTAAATACAATTCTTTCAAAGTATTGCAAATATTTTGCAAATATTTTAAAATATTTCAATCTTTTAAAAAAATTGCATTTGAACTGTCTTAGTAAATACTTATCTAAATTGAAGATTTAATTACTATTATAATCAGAATAACTTGCTAACTATTTTTTTTTTCAGATTTAAAGAGTGATGTCTATGGCTTGTGATCTTTTATTAAGACTTACAAACTACAAATATTGTAAGGGGTATTACATTTTGCATATTAATGAAGTTACAATTAGCTATTCATACAACTTTAAGGATAAAGAGTAATATTTTAAAATTATATATAAACCTAATGGTAAAATTTATTTATATTTAATTTTATAAAAAATTATATTAAGTAAACTAATTTTAATTTATAATAAAAGTTTGTAGAGTAGTTTTTCTGATTCTAATGATAGTAAAATCATTAATATTGAATAAAAACTTAGTAAAATATGACTTTTTAAAGATTAGATATAAAAATTTATTACTTAAGTTAACTTATAGGGTTACGTAAATTAACCAATCAAATCTAATAATATTGTATAATCCTAACAAATTTGAAGGTACGTTAGAAAACTTTGTACTATATAAAAGTATATTTTTTTAAAATAATACAATACTTCAAAATTATACTATAATAGATAAATAATTTTATTTATAATATTATAAATATTTTTTATTGATTAAACAAAAAATAAAAAAGATTTATTAGTAGCATATATTAATTTTAGATGAAAATTTTAAAATACTATATATTTCTATATAGAAATGATCTACATTACCTTTTACCCTTAATCATTGTTTATTTAAAGGTTCTGCCTATAGGTTATCTACTAATTGCTATATCTAAAAACTGCTTGTGAGTTTTTTATTTAAAGTCTCTGATTTTTAATATTTTTCTATAGTACTAACTTAATTTTTTAATAACAAACCTTAGAGTTACTTTACTCTTGATGCAAACTCTACTGAATGGAAGTAGATCCTATGACTACATCTATTTGGATTTATGATGTCAAAGATAATTTCATATTAGGTAAGACTAATCCTTTCTAGTATATAGATTCTTATTACTATTAATTCCATTTGTCTAAAGTATAATATAATTTTTATTATGTATTTATTTATCTTCTTAACAGCATCTACATGTTTTGCTTATTGTTCTTCTATTAAAACTTCTACATCTTAACTTTTTTTCTTATTTTCTGCTATGCTGTTTTAGTATCTGTTATACCTTTTTGTTGTTTTATATACTAGAAATTTTTACTCTCTTTTTGCAAGATTCATTTATGTAATTTCTAATATTATAATTTCTTCTTCTTTTGCTCAGCTGACAGGTTTTCAAACTTCCAACCTTTGGTCTTTAATCTATTGTGTAGTGGCATGCTAGTTTAATTTCTTTTCTTTTTTCTTTCTATTTCTCTTTTAGCTGTTCTTGATTTGTTTTTATATTTTCATTATTTTTATTTTCTTTTTTGCTCTTTTCTATTTCTAAACAAGATGATGTTCTTTTTCTCATTTTTTAAACATTCTTCTTTTGTTTTGCAAAAAATCTCTAATCTTCTCATCTACATTCATAAACTCAACTAAAGTGCCTTTAGGAGTAATTGACTAGACCTTTTTTTATGTCTAGCTGTATATCTTCTAGTTGACTTAATTTGTTCAAAATCTGATCTAAAATGTCTTCTATTTGATTTGTCTTTGGCTATGTTTATCTTTCTAATTTTATTTTTTTTTCTTTTAAGTTTTTTTTTTTTTGTATTAATATTTCTATCATCTAACTATTCTATTATGTCTTGTATTTGAAAATTGTTTCCTATTTCTATATATCTTTTGTTTGAGTTTTGATTGCTTTTGACCTAACTTTTTCTTTTTTTTATATTAGTATTTTTATTTTCTAGATCTTTTTTCTCTATTTCTGCAAATCTTCTGCTTGAATTTTGGGTTATTCTATTTCAGCTTTTTTCTCTTCTTTTCTGAGAACTTTTTTTTTTTTAGTTTTTTTTTTCATTAATCAGAATATACAGAAGTTGTTATATATGATTGGTCTTGATTAAGCTGTTTCTCTTTTCCTTTCTGTTGCAAATAAAATTATTGCAGTTTTTCTTGGTTTCTGTTTTTATTTAGTGAGATATATATTGATTTTGCATTTTTATTTCTTAAACATTGTAATAGTAAGACTTCTGAAATATTACTTGACATTCTGTTAATTTTGCTGAATATTGTCTTTGTTTATGTCTTACTTCAGAATCTTTTTTTTTTCTGTTAATTTACTAGTTTATAGTTGTCAACTGGTATAGACCAAAAAGTACTTCTCTCTTCTATTTAGATTATTGTGAGAGCCTTGTATTTGGATATTTTAATTCTTATTATTTGTATTTTTTTGAATATTTTGAAGATATATTTTAGTTTTTTCTTATTTATATTTGCTGACAGGTTCCAGATTGTTATATGTTTTATATCTTTTGTTTTTTTTTCCTTAGTGTTTGTATGTTCCTCTCTTATTTTTTTTTTAATTTTCTCTTTTTTTATAATTTTTTTTCTTATATTCTGTTGTATTACACCTTTCATTTTGATATTCATTATTATACTTTTTTCATTTTGTTTTTCTTCTTTCTTTGTTCTCTTCTAGTATCATTCTGTACCAATTACTTTCTTTTTTACTTATTCTTTATATTGCTTTATTTCTATCATATTTGCAGTCAAAGTTTATCTCAATTCACAGATTTTCTTATTTGAAGATTTCTTTAATGTTCTTAATTTGTTCATTGTCTTTTAGTAGTTATTTGATAAACTTTACATATTCTTCTTCTGTTTTTTCAGACAAATTGTATGCTGGTACATTAGCAAGTAGTTTGTTACTTTTGTTACAATTTTTTCTTTTTGATGCCTATATGCTTTTTTCTAACAGAATTTCTATTATGTCTATTTCTCTTTCTACTACTTGCTTTCTTCTTTTTTGTATTTTTTTTTTTTTAATATTAAATCTTGTCTTAATTCTTTACTATCTATTTTTATATCTTCTTGTTCTACTTTTTTTAGTTGTTTTTTTCTTGATTCTTTTTTCTACATAAGTGGTTCTTCTTCTATTTAGTTTATACTTTTATTACTTACCTTTATTTTTTTTCTTTATAGTGAAGTTTTCTTCTTGTAGTTTTCTTTTGCTTGTATTGTTTTCTTCTATCTTTCTTTTAATTTCTCTTTTTGTCTTATGTCTGTCTTCTTTCTTTTTTTCTTTTTTGGTTATTCCTTGTTGTACTACTTCTCTATTTTTTTGTTCTTGAATTCTTTTAAGTTCAATTGTCATTATATTCTTGTCTACCTTTGTAAAGTTTAACTTCTTTTTTGATTATTTTCTTTCTGCTTTTTTAATTAATTTTCTAGTTTTCCTTAATAGTACAACTTTTATTAGACTTTGCTTTGTGAGCATAGCAATAATTTTATCTTTTCTGTTTGGTACTACATATGTACTATTTGACTAATTGAAGAATATTTTATTATTTGTTCTGTTTATTGCTTAGTATGTTCTTTTCATAAAAATTGTTGATAGACTTTTTCTATTCTTTATTAATTTTATGTTCAATTTATATCTATATACTTCTGATTGGTTTTTAAATTTTTTTTATTATTTTGCTTATTTATATATAAAATTCTACATATATTATTATGTAATTTGTGATATCTATACTGATTTGGTGGCCTGCATATAGCTGTTGTTGTTTTACTGTTACATGTCTTTTGTATAATATAAACAGATCTATGATACAGAGTCTAATAGAATTCTCTATTATTGTTATTTTTCAGTGAGTTTTTTACTTTTCTTTTAGTAGCTAATCTATTAGTTTTACAAATAGACTTTTCTTCTACTAGTCTATTGCTTTCTATATTGCTGCTTCTTTTATTTAAAAC